ACCCACTGCTCCCCTCAGCAGTGTATTTCAGTCAGTCTGCTTCTTCTGCTCTCCACTCTGTCTCTGGTGAATCCTCTCAATCCTCCCACCTCTGGCCTACACCCCAGTTCTTGTATGTATAAATAAATAAATCTAAAAAAAAAAGAAACTTCAGAGAGCTAACAGAAGCCCATATCCTATACAATTCTGTGGATCATTATGAGGACTTGGGCTTTTACTTTTACTAAAATAAGGAGTCATTGTAGGGTTTTGAGTAGAGGAATAAGTTTAAGTTTGTAAAGAATTCCTCTAGTTTTCATGTTGAAATGCCTTTTACAGTAACTCCGGCAAGAAATAATAGCATAGACCAAATTAGTATCAGTAGACCAATGAAAAAAAGTTGGATTGTAGCTATATTTTGAAGCAGAGATAACAGGGTTTCTAATGGATTTCATTCCAGGAAGAGAAGAGGGAGGTAATGAATGACTACGGGTTTTGGTTGAAATTAGACCAAAGTAGGAAAGGCGGTATGTAGAGAAACTTTTGCTTTGAAGCTTCTCTTTGAAGGTCAGAAGTTTAGTTTGGAGCATGTTGAGCCTGAGACAGTCCATTAAATCCCATTAAACTATAAAGTGGAGATGTGGAAGAGGCAGTTGGATGTAACCTGGTGTTCCAGGTAGAGATCTGGTCTGAGGAACACTTTATCATACAGCTGCAATTTAAAGTTATTAGGTTGGATTAGCTCACCAAGTGGTCACAGATAGAGAAAAGGAACAAAGACTGAGTTCAGGAGTCTTCTACCATTAAGTGGTCAGAAAAATGGGGAAATGTGCAAAGAGCATGAGAAGGAGCAGCTAGTGAGAAAGGGAGTTAAAAAGAGAGAGAGAGAATATGGTGACTTGGAAACCATGTGAAGAAGGATATACAGGAGAGATCAACTATCTTAGGTGCTGCAGATAAGTCAAGAAGGACAAGAATGGTGAATTTACTATTGGATTTAGCAAGGAGGTCACTGATAATAAGAGCAGTTTCTGTGGAGTTTTAGGGTGAAAAGCCTGATTGAAGTGGGTTATAAAGGCAAGTGGGAAGAAGTCTGAAAATAGCAAATAAAGACAAGTTTTAAGAGTTTTGCTGTTACAGGGAAGAAAGATGTAGCAGAAGCTAGTGAAGGAATAGCGAATTTCATGTCTTGCTTTCTTAAGAGAGAATTAGTGGTACTTTGCAAGTTAAATTTTGAAACTGATCCAAACACTGTTGAGGGGAGCAGCAGGCGGGTTAGGAGAGGTCTGCCACGCCATGTGGTCACCTCCAGGGCAGGCGGGGATGGAACTCATGCTGAAGTGGCTTAAGCTTCTTAGTGCTGTGCTTTAACCC